CTCAGCAATGCAGGAGGCAAAAATCTACATATACATATATATATATGTATATACATATATATATATATCTCTCTCTCTCTCTCTCACTCTCTCTCTCTCTCTCTCTCTCTCTGTTTTTGAAATTCGCGAGACCCGAAACCTTGCCCCAAGGCGGCGCGCTTTGTGTCCCGACAGCTCTTGGACGATCGTGACTTCGTGCCAGATGGCAGCAAACGGGTCTAGTATGGGGCCTCAATAATCCGAATAAGGAACCCTAAACCCTAAGCCTAAAGTTGGGTGCCCTAAGGACTGAGGCAGGCTTTTGTACTGCTTGGACTTGGGGCTTTTGGGAGCAACTGGGCCCTGGCTCAGGATTTCTGCTACCCCCTTTACACGGCGAATTTTCGAGAAGGCGCCCCTCTGGCTGTGATGCGGTTGATGATATAAATCCTNNCCCTAAACTATGGGAGTTATGGTATGTTCCGTATTATGGGTAATGCAGGATTTATATCATCAGCCGCAGTTCAGTATTCGTGCCGGCAGCTTGATTGTTGCTGAGCAAGGTCCCAGCACGCAAAGGGTTGACCGGACCTCGCAGATGCGCACAAAACAGTCCTAATCAAATAGAAATGGCGGACGGGAGGGATAGCAACAGAGTGGCAATGCTCGGGGAGACCATTTGCTCGGTATTTGGGCATATCCGTTGATGGGGGCTCACTTGAAAGCGGAATCGCTATGACACGTCCGCTGTTAACTACATGTTAATTTAATGTATTTCTTCTGCTGCACGTCATGTCATGCTCGGTCGGTGGAAGCAACACACGGGCACTGAACTCTATGTCCCGGATCGAGCGGTAATATGATGAACCTCCAAGTTTGAGAGGCCAGTCGGAAAAACATACCATAGGCGAACTTTCCGCGACTGCTTGCGATGACGAGATTGGATCTCGAGGGCACCGTTCCATTCACTGCCAGTTCAGCAGTGGCAATCTCGTAAATTCGTCGTTTCAAAGTCCGCGAAGAGGTTCCTCACGCATTAGCTCCGTGCTGTGAGCGAAGAGTAAGAGAATCTTCCTGAGCGCGTGGGCGTTGACGCGGCAAATCATCAAGGCGCTCCCAGACTTCGAAATGACCTTTGGGGCTCGAGGGTGACCTCTGGGGTGACCTCTCGGTGACTTCGGTGGGTTAGGGTTTAGGGTTCAGGCTTAGGGGATTCAAGATCTGTGGCAGTTGCGGCAGTGTCCCGCCATCTCTCACGCGGCTTGGGACTCTGAAGTTCCCCGTAAGTTCCCCATGGGTCCGATGTGCCATGGCAGAGTCTCAGTCGATGGCGAGCAGGGCCGCATCGCTGGCGGTGAGTCTCGTGAATCCTCGTTTCGCGAACTTCAACAAACCTTTGTGCCTGGCCATCATTGTGGCCACCCTGTCAGTGGCATGCTTTGTGCCGGTTCTGGGCTACTACATGACCCTAGAAACCGTTCTCGTCACCGACGACAGTCGTGAGGACACAGCTTTGCTTGGCGGCCCCTTCTTTGAGGTGGATCGAGTCCTGCTGGAGCATGTCAAGCTGCCCGGCAGATGCACAGAGGAGAATTCCACGAAGTGGTTCAGGGGCAATGGAACCTCGATTTCCCAGGACGGTCTTACCACGACCGAGTACGCTTGTGATTACAGTGCATGCATTCTTGAATCCTACAATCTTGGCGGACAATGGTCTGAGGAGGACTATGCATCCAACAACCGTGTCAGAACACCGATCAGGGTTGGGGGCGATCCTCCTCAGATTTTGCTTGACAAAGCTGAGATCCTCGATCAAATCACATGGAATAGCTGCAGGATTTAGGACGAGTGGACGCAAGGCTTGGTGCGGAATTCGCAGTTCATCCTGCTGCATCAAGGCACAACTAGTTATTCCGGCTTAAATATCTCTCAGTTTGGATGCAAACCAGGTGCGTTCTCCGATGTCTGGTGCCCTGTGAGTATGGAAGCAGAAGCGTGCCGGTGGATCAAAAATTGCTGTGCTGAAGTACCCGGCTTGCTGGCTTCCTCGAGCTTCTGCTGTTCGGCCGAAAACCAAGCTTCGTCCACGCCAAGCAGGGAGTCAAGCGCGTGTTCCCTTCCTGGCAGCATCCGAATCCCAGGCGCTTTTTGCTTTCCGGCCGTTCAGGAGCGGATGGACTACGTGATTGCCGCGAGCGCGCGGCCGTCGCCATCTCTGTACCCAATCTGCCCGGCAAGTAGCCAGGCCCAGCTACAAGTATCTGCTGGCGCTCAGACACTGGGCAACTGCTCCATGGCCTCTTTTTCCCTGAACCCCACGAGCTTCAAAGTCCAGTATATTCAAAGGCAGACCATCACAACCCACACGAAAGCAGCCTTTCTCACCGCGCTCTCCTCTGCCCTGGCTCTGACCACCTACATTGAGATGGCTGTGACTGTGGTGGTCATCCTGATTCTCAGACAGCTGGGCTGCGTGAGGGAGATCAAGAAGTTCTCCTGGGGCGAGATACTGAATGAGCAGCGGGATCCAGAACTCGAGCGGAAAGAGATGGAGGCGACTCGGAGCATCGGTTAGTCACATGCTACGACCGCGTAATCGGATGAGTAGTTCCACAGCCCTGAACTTGTAACCCGGTGAAACACGACAGGTTTGGATAGACCCCCTCCGCCGACGAAATCCTTGGATCCCAGCTCAGGAAAGGATGCAGGCCAACGTCATGTTGCATCTTGAGTCGCAAGAAAAGTCCCTCAAAGGACAACAGAGCGAATTGCTGGGCAAAGTCTATTTCGAGCGGCGGCCGGTCACGGACTGAGCGCTGCGGAATTACTTGGGATGTGCTCATCGGAAAATCAATTGGGACTTCTATTGGGATTTGAAGAGGCGCAAGCCTCCTGAATCTCTTGACTCGCTGAAAGAGCGATTGCTCCTCCCTTGACTACAAACCCTCCGGCTGAAGGGGAAAGTGGCGTGGTGGCTGGTTTGCGCATGCAAAAAGCATGTTGCATTCAAGCAATCACAAGATCAGGCCGTAGCCGGGAGTCGCAGCCTGTGTGCGATGCTTGTGCCCCATGGCCCATGACTGGTAAGTTGTGGCGAAGCCAAACGGATACTCATGGGTAGAGCCTCGGGCTGAAGTCGAAAAGGACGTCAGCTCTGTTTCAGCGCGGATCCGCCCAGGCTTGCAGGTGGAGACTGAGCCGGTAAGGCATCTGGGGCCTCGGTCTGCTATGCCTAGGGTATACGTGTATGTCTGCATGCATGCCAGGACAATACGGACATGAGGGTTTCATGCCTGTTTCTGAATAAAGGGCATAAGAGGGCGAGTGGCAGAAACGAGGAAAAAAGGGCTGTGTGAAGCTCCTAGCCTTCAACCTCAGAGCTGGGAGGCTTCGTTCCGATTGAAGCGAGATCTAGATGTCGTTCTGGAGGTGGTGGACTCTCGGTCAGAAAGGGATTGAAAGGATGTGCAGGGTTCAATTCGGTTCCAGGCTTTCGGAGTGCTCGAGCACGAGCCTTCAAATGGCTTTGAGCTTGCTGGGCGGCATTATTGCGGTAGGATTTGAAGAGAAGTTTGTGCAAGCTGCATACACGAGCCAGTAGCTCCCAACAGTTGCTGCACACTCCGAAGGGCACTTAGCTTCTGAAGCAAACTGCTCTAACTGCAAAGGGGAAATGTATACTCTCGAGGTTCCAGCTGTCAAACTCCACACATGCAGAGCTTCCTGACTGGCTTGTGATGAAGGTCAGGTTTGCTCGGAGCTTCTGTGCTGCCCCGGTGCGCATTGCGTTAGAGACTTCAGTTCGCGACTGGCATGGCCACAAAGTTCTACACCTCCGCATCTCTCTGAGGAACAGGACCCGGACACTTTTCTGTTTGCGGCCTGGGAGCTGCGATGCGACCCGCAGGCAGCCAAATCTTAGGGACGTAGATAAAGTAGGTAGAGGGGGGCATAAATACGTGCTTACAGACAGCTGTGCAGAGACGGCTGTCTGCCTACCCATCAATCTATCAGTACATCGCCCTTTGATTCGTTGTTTGAGCTGCATGCGCGGTGCGGCTGGAGGAGGTATTAGGATGGCGGCCTCACGATACATAGTTGTGCAAGTGGGAGCCAAGAACCGGAGAAAGCGTTCAAATAGCCTCTGCATCATGATATAGAAGCCCTACAGAGTCCTGTCTCCCTTTCTAAAGTTTTCATGTGTATCGACTGCAGCATAAAGTCAACACCCTGTTCAACCTCCCTGCATCTTCATGCCTAGCTGTCGGAGTGCGCATCCGATGACTGTCCTGCGCTAAAGCCTTGGGTGCACGATGTTTCCTCGCTAGCTCAGCGGATCATAGCCTTGCCCCTCGCGACCCTTTCTGAAGAGACCTGGACTGGTTTTAAGTATGGCATGCAGGCCGTGCGGGCAGTGGTGAGCACAGCAGGCTGTGCAGCTCGGCAAGTGCATTTATCGGTTTTGTATTGTATCCCCTTATCGTCCCGTACAGGTAACTACGGTATACCATGGTCTACCCCATACCCCCCGCCTGATGATGATATAATGCTCGTTTGTTTGGGAACTCTTTGTCAAAGTGCCCCCTGATTGCGATGAATTTCCAAATGCACCATATCAACGCTCAGGCCATCGCCCACGCCTCACCCGACCTCCGCCGGGACACGCTGTGCTTGTTGGTGTTGGATGGGTTTGGGCTCGATAGGACCCAGGGTTTCGAGTTTCGGCCTCAGAGATGTACTGTAGAAGCCTAAATAACTGCCCATATTATTCTTTAGGGTTCCTTATTATAAGCATACTATAAAGGATCCCCAAACCCTATTCTGATTATTCAGGCCCCGATGTTAGGGCTTTTGCTGTGTTCATCGACAGCTCATCTACTTGGCAGGATCCCTCCATCCTCGCAGCGGCTTGGATTTGACATCATGTCAATGCGGTTGTTTAGGGTTCCCAAAAAGGGGAACACGATGCTTCTTCAAACGTGCCGGCCCCCGACCGTGACTCAAAAGAGGGTTTAGGGTGTAGGGTTAGTTGGCAGAGTCTGGGATCAAGAAAGGGTTAGGAAGTAAGGGGTGCGTGCAGCAGAGGCAGCGGCTCTCGCAGCTTCAAGGCGGAGTTTATGGCGGAAAATAACAGCCATACAGAGAGGTGGGCCACGCACAAATATTTGGGAACACACTTTCTTCAACAAGCAGAACAAATTCAGAAAAACGAAAATCACTACACTACACCAGCAAGAGAGGCGGTACTGTAGACAGTCGTGCTGTGAGAGTTTGTGCGCAGCTCGAGCAGTCACAGCATGCTAGGCCGTTCGGGACTCTTGTGTTCCGAGGAAGCTATTGATCCGGTTCTCCATGACCATGACCAGGTAAAGAACCGGAATTTCCCAGTGAGTCCGGGCAGATCAACGACCAGATCAAAACAGCAATTCTTCAACACGCCAACTAACACAGTCCGCTGCGTTTCTCTCCCTTTCAAAATGGTCATCCTTTAACTTACAAGGGCATTTTGCCTTGAGTGATGCTCTGCCATGCGACAACACCATAGCCTTCGAGTGCCTATTCTTAAAACAGAGTGAGGCCCGAATGCAGACCCATCAAATTCGCTGAATGCTGTTTCCGACGCAAGGTTGCCATCGCCAATGACCCCATGGCCAGAGTAGCAGCTCAAAGTGGCTAACCAGCTGGCAAAAAAGAGGTGTTTGCCAGTGCCCGACCAGTTTGTTCATGTCTGCCTTGGCACAGCTCGGCTTCAGGAACCCTAAACCCGTCAACCCTGGCTCAGGTGTTTCCCTGGCTCAGGTGTTTCTCAAAGTAGGGCTTCTCAGCAAAACCATTTCGAGCCCAAGCATTCAATCCTCAAGTTTTCCCCGCGAGGCAATGGGCACCGTAACTCTCGCCTCGGTTTCTCATTGGCATCCAAACGCATTTCAGTGCACTCAAAAACACTTCGGCCGCATGTACCACGGATTCGTCACCTGTGTCTTGCTCCAGGATTCGTCGAGGGGCACCGGGAAGACAGGCAAGTCCTGTCGCAATGTCAAAGCACCCATGGACATTCCATCCATCGCCGAACCTCCATGCTAGGACAGCATTTCATTCATGGCAGGCTAGCTGCTGTTAGCCAGCAAGGCCTGAGCAGGTCAGGAAGCAGCCGACTGTCACAACCGCACTCCATGTCACTAAGTTCAGGTCCCGGCCGGGTTTAGTAAACCCGAAGAACTTCCTAGACCGACCCACTCCCGAAACCAACCAACTCCACAGCCACAGGAAAGGTAGAGACCTGCACACTGCGTAGACCAACGTCCGGGAGCCTCTCAGATGGTGCCATGTGCCCCCTAGAGGCGCCGCAGGGCACCCACCTAGCTCCTGGCGACCGGGTTCCGGGTTGAGGGCAGTTAAGGCCCGTTTGGGGCTTTAAGGTCAGAGCTCACCTCTCGTTTTTTACGCACCCACTCATGGAAGACCGTGCTGACGCACATCGTGCTGGCCACCCCGGTGAAGCAACCCGAGGTCTCATAGCTCATGGCATCATGCCAAGCCTGGCCCCTGAGAACCCAGTACCCCTTAAATGAGGAATATACCTTAAACAAATTCTAGGGGTCCTAATATTAATGGTTTAAGGTATATTCCTTAATTAAGGGGTATTGGGTTCTCTGGGGCTTCATAGCTCCGATCGGCGGCGTCGCTTGAAGAACAGTCACTGTGTGACGAGCACGCCGGCAAGGCTTTCTGCGACGTGGCTTCCTGCATGCCGAGATACACTTACTATAGGGGCCTAAATATTTACCAATACTATTTTGGGGACTCCTTGTTATAATCATAGCAGATTAGACCCCCAAACCCTATCCTAATTCTTAAGGCCTCTACATTAGTCTAAGATACCAGGGGCCCCAAACTCCGAAGCCCTGCGGGCCTCGGCCCGCAACTCAGGGACCCTGCCCTGACAGGAAAATGGCTACAGTGGAGAGCACGCCTACGTCCGGGACTTGGATCTCAGAGAACCCTTCATCCGAGAAGCTTATCTTTCTTCGACATCTGAGCGAGAGAGAACAAGAGAGAACTGAACAAAAAGGCGGATCAGGAGTCGCCCCGCCGGCCCAGGTGTCACTCCTGCACGGCGACAGCGCCCGCCTCAGCGTGTCGGAACAGGGATCCTCAAGCCGCAAGACCTGGTGAGATTTCGGCTTTTGGCGAAGATGTCAGTGTGGGTGGTGTCCTTAGTCGAGGCGTCCGTTTAATCTGGGCCTAACTGTTTGTTAACTGAGCGAGAGAGCGAATGAAGCCAGCATCAGCATGGACCGAATGAATCTCGTGGTTTGCTGCTCAGCAGTTGATCGAGACACAATGTGTTCGGGATTTACTGCGCCTGACCACCACGCCCTCCTTTGCCAAGGGACCGAGTTCCTGGTGTACGCCCTCCTGTGTGGGACTCAGGCAGTCAGGCAGAGCCCCAAAGAAAGGTGGCAAAGTCGCCGCGAGGGCGGAGCGACGTTCAGCACTGCCACCTAAGCCTTGAAACTATACAGCGCACATACGTAGATTCATAGATAGTAGATAGATAGCTTTAGATAGAAAGATAGTTAGATAGTTAGATAGATAGGTAGATGGGTAGCTGGGTAGGTGGGTAGATAGACAGATAGATAGATAACTAGGTAGGTAGGTAGGTAGGTATACAGACAGCTATATATGTATACAGTATATATATATATACACATACATAGATATATGTATAAGGTGTGCGTGTGCTAGTGTATGTATATATGTATACATATATATATATATATATATATATATTTATTTAGATTTATATATA